TTGTACACTCTTTTTGTAATAGTTCCATATAGAACCACATTACCAAAAGCATTAATAAAAGTCAAAAGAACAAAAAAATTACCTTAAAAAAAAAAAACAAAAAAAAAATTTTTATAATATACCTTATATTATTAATAATTTGTTGTTTTATTTAAAAAAAACTAAACACAATTTAACAAACTTGTTTAAAAAACTGTTAACAAATAATAATAAAATATTCTTTAAATACAACAGTTAGTAAAATGCTTCATGCTTAATATAAAACCATTTAATCTAAATTTAAAATCAATTATAATAATTGGTTACCAATATTTATTTCTAAACCTTTTAGCAATAATGGCCATAGTATAAACAAAAACCGTATAAGCAATAAAATTATTTAAATTAAATTTATTTTTATATTAATTTCAATATCAGCAAATAAGATGTTGGTTTACTATTTCATTATAAAGGGTGGCCAGATTAAAATTATTAACTCGGCTAAGCCTATAAGTTTTTAATCACTGTGTTCTAGTATCTCACCCAACTTTGTGGGTAAACATGCCCATAAACCTTTAAATATTCAGGACGTAAAGGAATTTTAATATTTTCACGTCTCAATTTTCCACCAATAACGAGCAAACCAGTTGCTAATAACCCAATTGAAGAAACAATAACCCCATTTCTGATGATCCGAAGTCGTTTCTTTGTTGCTTCTGAAGTTGGCTTATCACTATTTTTTATTATGGAACCCCTTAGGATCTTATACACAACAGGCGCACCGCTGCAAACATGGTAAACGCCTAACCCGATCAACATCGTAAATGTTAAATACGTTGAACGAGGCCATTTCTTGAGGGCGAGTGTAACATATGATGCATTGATCATCGAGGAATCACCAAAGTGACGTCTTGGAAGCACACGATGAATAAAAGCATGGCTTAAAACAAACGGAATTAAAAGATATCCAGCTAAATGATGATATGGAAGTAATAATACTATAGCTCTTGATATATACGATCCGGTAATGGTCGTAGTAGTTTTTTTCATGGTCTTACGAACAACCACGCCTTGTTCATTTGGCCCATCAGTAACAATCATTTCAACCTTTTCGTGGGCCTCTCCAGCTAAGTTGCGTGTATCTTGTTTCTTATATTTCCAATATAGTTTGATGCCTCGTTTAATTAACCCTGAGAGTATATGTCCCCAAAATGAACCAGCTACGATAATAGGTTCCAGGAATCTATTTTGGTAATACACTCTACCGAGAACGATCGTCTTATTGGTAAGTTCAATACCGCCGAGAGTGGCTAAAGCCGTTGCACTCAAATGAGTAACTAGGAAGGTCGTAAAAACAGCTGCCGTACCAACCTGAACAAGGGTAAGGTAGCCATAAATCTTTGACACCCTAATAATTGGAAGAGGAGGAGGAGGATTGTTATTGCCATTAGTAGAAACTGGTTTTGACTGCGACATTGCGTTTTTAAGTAATTTTTAAAAGCGAATAGTGTAAAATCGAAATTCTTTCGTTACTCGCGGTTTTTAACTCGCATCTTTATTTAATTTGTGCTTCTATAAAACGTAACTCTTGTTACGAAACTTCCCGATCATACAACACTCAATGTCGTGACTTGTGTGACCATTTTGATAAGGTGGTTTGTTATACGTATGATACAGTATCATTCATTTTTGATAAACTCATTTTTTTTGATTCACCTAAACATACAGCAAATTTAGTAAAAAGTATAGAAATTTTAACAATTAGAGTGAAAAAGATGATTTCTTAAGCAAATTTTTGAGAAATAAGTGATTTTTGAAAAATGAACGTTTTAGGTGCAAAAAGTATCAAAATGAATGTTCTGCCTGGGTATCAAAAATGAAGATTCTGCATCAGTCACACGATTTGTCACGCAGATTATATGTAAATTTGCGTCAAATATGCCTCCCGGCTTTCGTTTAGTGGTAAGAAGTTGTTATTTTAATTCTGCGCAAGGATTTTGTCTATTTTTAGCATTTAAAAGTTCTTCAAAGCCTATTTTTTCACGATTTGTATGATCTGCAATATTGTGACGCATCTCATTTGATCAAAACAATCAACAAAATTGACGCATACCAAATATGGGTCTGTGATTAGACATATGACAACTAACTGACCAATATTTGTGTACGTCAATTTTGTTGACTGTTGATCATACGTATACTGTCTACATGCGTAGCATATATGTACGTACTGTATATTTGCTTTCTAAGCTTATTTGATAATAAAGGAATTTCGGTTTAATTTCTGGTATCATTTCGCAAATTCTTTAGCATTTAAAGGTTCATGTGAAATTTTAAGGGCGTTCAAAAATAAAATGCAAAAGAATCTTGGTCACAAAGTTGGTCAATTTTTTCCCGATTTTTACTGTAATGTACCAAAATTTAATAGATATGATCTTATTACTTATTTGAGATGAATGATGCACATCACTTATTATCACATAAAACAAACAGTAAAAATCGTAAAAAATTGCGACCAAGATTCTTTTGCATTTTATTTTTAACCACTCTTAAAATTTCACAAGAACCTTCAAATGATAAAGAATTTGCGAATATGATACCCAGAAATTAACCCGAGAATTCCTTTATTATCAAATAAGCTTAAAAAAATTTAGGTGCGTCGATCATTTGATCTACAATTAAAAAATTATACGTGTGACATCTCGACCAACTGATATGCTAGCGCTAGACAATTTACATTATATGCTTTGTTAGCATTGTTCTGAATATCATAATATATATAATTATAATAATATAATGTTGCTCAATGACAATAATTATCGTTATTGCATTCTTGTTTTTTTTGCTATTTTCGTGAGGCTTACCATGGTGGCTTAAATTTAAAATATTTTCTTGCTGTGGCTGTGTTCAATTAGATTCTGATCATAGTGCATGATACGACTGCGTAACATTGGTTATTTGATGATACCTCAC